ATATAGAGATCATTCCAAAAACTATAGTGATTAAATCATTATATTTGATAAGCACTTTAATTTTATGTGAAATTGATTTTGGATAATTAAGAATGCTTATATAACTGTTTTGAATGGTAATTTAATTCTCGTTTAAAAGAGTGAAAAACTTTTATCACCAAAATGAAGTGATATGTAAAATTAACTATTATCAATATTACCCATTTAATATGTAAATTAAAAACTTGTTATCTTTTTAAATTAAAATTATTTTATATTATAAGTTTTTATATTTTAAAATTAATATTCATTATAATAAATTCAAAAATAATTTGTTTATTTTTTAAATAGTTTATATCTATAAACTATAGATAAAAAGTATCCCTAAAAGTCTTAGGGAATTACAAATGTTTTTTTTAGTAAAATAACTATATTACCCTTTGTTTTTGAGTTAATGATTAAGGGCTGTGGTTCCTCTAAAGGTTTTGCAATTAATAATTGTTTGGAAAATAAGTGAAGAATTTCTTTTAACTAATGAGAATATTTGCAGGTTAGTTCAGATCATGTGGCATTGGACGGAAGATGTAGCATTGCATGGAGATAGGAAATAACATGTGTAATGTATTTATCAAAAAAGTAAACATAAGAAATGAGTAAAAGGTTGTTTGAAAAGCAAAACGGCAGGTTGTTTGGAAAAAGGAAGAAAAAGCGGGAGACAGAAAATCTAGAAGGCGAAGAAAATGGAGAGAAAAAGAGTAGAAAGATCCAAATAGAAAAATAAAAAAACTTTTCTCATTCTATTTCTTCATTTTTTTAAAATAATTATTTTCATTTCCTTTTTTTTTTCACCAAATTATTTAGTTAATGTCGAGACAACAGAAAAAATTAAAAAGCCTAATTTATTTTGGTATTTGATTGTTTTTGGAGCTAATTTTTTATTTGTTTGCATTTTTAGGTTATTCTTCGTTTGATAGAATTGTCTCAATGCATGTGATCGCCATTTTTATTTTTTAAAATTTTATTTATGATTTTAAGGTTGATTTTTTTTTTTTAATTTGATTATGTTGAGTTTTTGTTAGTCCTTTTTTTTTTAATCTACTTTTGCATATCTTACACAAAAGTAATATATCTTTGCATGCATCTTCCATTTAAGTTTGTGAAGGAGTTGTGTTATTTTACCATCCAAATTGTCATTTGATTTTAACCTTGATTTCTTGGGTAATGGGTTTAAGATTGTTCATTTTAACATCAATAATTTTTTTGGATTACATTGGATATTCAATTGTAACATTTTTATTACTCGGTTTATTTGTCTATGAACTTTTTTGAATAAAAAGAGATGAAAAACATTTTCATTGTTGAATGCACTTTTCTTTGAGTAATAATGATTTTCTCTGATAAATTTTTTTCAAATATTATATAGATTTTATAAATTTTTTTACAATATTTATTCATAACAGTAATAATAAATTAAAAATAATATAAAAATTAAAAACCATGGTGAAACGTATAATATAATCTTTTTTTATTAACAAATTAATAGATTAGTTTTATTTTCTAATTCAAATTTTTTTACATTATTTATTTTTTAAAAATGAGTTTACCTATTAATAAATATATTTATTAATTTAATAATTTAATAATATTTTATTATAGAATAAATAAAATATTATTAGTATTTTAAAAATTATTATCTTTAATTAACATTAAATCATTAATTTGTGTAACTATTACATGATTATTTTTATATTTTTAAATAAAATCATATATTATTTTTAATCATTATAGGGATTTAAGTTTTTAATGACGTTTTTTTATTTAACGTTTAGTGGTATTTATAAATGTCACTAAAAGATTTACGATGTTTACGAAAAATTTTTTGAGACCATTTTATTTTGTACTTTCAGTTGTAACTCTAATTACATGAATTAAAATTGAAAACAAATTCAGCTTACTACATTTGATACTGAAATATTAGCCCACAAATTTTGATGATTAAAAAAAAAAAGAATTTTACTGTAGAGATCAAATAATTTTCTTCTGTTAGCACAAATTATTTATGTATTAAAAAATCAATTAAAAGATTTCAAACTAAAATGAAACAAATCTTTTTTTTATCAATTCAAACATTCTTTAAATGATTTTTACCAAAAAAATTCTTTAATTAATCAGTTAAAAATAAATTTAATTAATCAATTAGATATATGCTTTTTTTTTGGGTTTGTCTGTTTCGGGCTGTCCAACATTAAAACTTTTGTGTTCATTGTACTTGTTTTTTATTATTTTTTTCTATTAATAAAATTCATTTTTTTAAGAATTTTTTCGGTTTGAGATTCTCAATATTTTTTGATTAATCCAAAATTAAGGGGGAGCGGACTCCATAAGGGAACATGCTCTATCAACGTCTATTTTTTTTATTCATAATATTTAAAATCAAAATTTTACTTAAAAAAAATCAAATTTTTTAAGCACTCAAACCATCAAACGTTGGTAATTTTTCTAAGATTTCTAAATCAATCATCGTTGTTCACTCTGTTCTACCAATGTCTTTCTTTGTAATAAGATAAATACTATTTCATGTGTTTCTCGATTGCATCCATAACATTACAATTTACAAGTCCATCATTTTTCCTTCTTTTTGGTTGATTTTTTATTGTTTATTTATGTCGAATATAATAAATTTTTTAAAAAAATTATTATTTTATAATCTTAATGTGAATTCAAATCTGAACAAAAGAATAAGTAAATTTTGTTTACCACTTAAATCAAACATGTGTTGGTTGATTTTTTTTTTTAATTTACTTTCTTTAATTAATAACCTTTCCTTATTTCTTAAATTTGACTTACGGAGATTTTAAAAATATAAATATGCAACATATGCTTTCAATATATAGTAAAAGTCATTTGGCTAATCCTAAATGAAATTGAATTTGATATATATACTATTTGAAAAATAAGAATTAAAAAACAACAGTTTAAAAAATAATACAATAAAATAATATAGTTTATAGTTTTAAACATAATAAAATAAGACAATAAAAAATAATATAAAAAAATTAGAAATAATATGATTTAAAATTTTAATAAAAATTATATATAAATTTGATAAAAAAAATATATTTTATATTTAAAATATTAACACGAATTATAATATGATAATTTTTATATTTTACATATATTTAATATAAAATAAATACAATATATATATATATATATATATTAAAATTATCTAATTTAGCCAACTTTCCATGGGCCCAAGTTAGCGTTGGAATAACTCAATTTAGAGTCAATAAATCATTCTAAATGAAAACTTGCAAAGTTTATTTTGTAAATTTTAAGGTAGAAGAAAATTTGATAATTGTAATTTGAAGTCATCAATTTTAATATTGACTGGACATCATAATTTAATGTTTATGAGATAAAATATAATTTTTTATTGTGTAAGATTTAAAGAAATCACAACTTTTTTTGTATTTTTTAAACAAGATTACCATCCAATACAACTTAGAAATTTCAAGTTTGTTCTTAGATGAATACATGGGGTTCCTCTGTTGAATTCAACTTGGGAAATATTCAGTCGTGGAATGCGGCGGAGGCTGGAGATGGTAAGACAAATATCCACTTGGGGTAATTTTAAATTAAACATGATGATACGATATGAAAATGATATGAATAAATATATAAAAATAGTATGATTTAAAATTTTAATAAAAAATATAAATAAATTTAGTAAAATAAAAAAAAATATTTTATATTTTTATATTGACATTAATTATAACATATAATTTTTATATAAAATATAAAATAAATATATAATTTTTTAATAATTTATATGACATGAATATATGTATTATTAAATTTACATTTGGCAACTTGGGTTGAATATTCCTTTGATGTAATCACAGTTGAATGACTTTATCACCGTTTACATTACGTTGATGGAAGACAGGACTATTATTCAACGGCTGAGACTGATACGAAACCAAAATCTTCTTCAATATTTGTATTCTAAAAGAAAAGAATTTTATTGTCGTATTTGATACGTTCTTCGTTTAGATAGTTGCTCATTTTTTTCAAGTTAAGATGTCACGTGCACAAGAATTTCCAAACAGTAATAAACGCAAATTACTTATTTTCAACGTGAAAGTTATGTTCATTTGGGACGATTGCAAAATTTTTACTATGAAAAAAGGACATTAAAAAAAAAAAAAAAGTCCCTTTCGAAATGTCCCCAAGGCTCTCTTTCGTCCAACCCTTCATCTCTTTGGCTAATTCCTTGTCTCCTTTGACAAAACTTTCGTTTCCAACTTAACCCTTTATTTTATAAGGTTTTTTTACTTTTTTTTAAGAAAAAGATTTATATGAAAATTTTTAAATGAAGTTTTTTATTATAAATGATTAAATAAAAATTAAAAATAAAAATAAAAATTAATAAATTATTGGTCATTTTGCCAAGTCAAGACTTCACCTCCACGTGAAATTCTAAACAACAATAAATACATGGAAAATAAAATAAAAAACGTAATATTTATAGTAATTCACTATCAAATTGATAACTGTGTCCACCTGTAACTGCTAAAAATTTTTTACTTTGCACAACTTGTACTTCTTCACAAATTACTATGCACACTAAATTTATATTTATAATATATTATACGTGTAAAATATTAAAATTTATATATATTATATATTATATAAAAATTATATATTATAATTTGTAATGATACGAAAATATAAAATATATTTTTTTATTTTATTACACTTATATATAATTATAATTAAAATTTTAAATTTATTATATTTATATATTATTTTCATATAATATTTATATCGTATCATTATCTTGTGTTTTATATTGTCGGCTCTAAAATATTGCACTCATCTCCATTTGGCAAACCCTTCACCTTTCTAAGGTTTTTCTACCGATAAAAAGTCAATGAAATTTGCAACCAAAATGCCAAGGAATTTCTGGTCGAATTTCTCGACTAGAATGTAGAAATTTTTATTTTTTTTTTCAATAGGAAATTCAAGGATGCCAAACTTGATTACTGTATGAAAATAAAGCTAGCAAGAGACATAAACATAGGCTATAAAAAGGCCAAGTTCTCAGTTTAGATTTGCAATTGGAAATGGAGCTGCTTTACAATCCATTTTTTCAATCTCTTATTCTCCTTGTCTGCCTTCTGATTTGGCTTAAACCAGCAAAAGGGAAAAAGCTGAATTTGCCTCCATCACCGCCCAAGTTACCAATTATTGGCAACATTCATCAACTAGGCAAACTTCCCCACTGCTCTCTCCGTGATCTCTCTAGGAAGTATGGTTCTCTCTTGCTTCTACAATTGGGTTATAATCCAACTTTAGTGGTTTCATCAGCCGAGATGGTTAGAGAGATTGTCAAAAATCATGATGTTGTTTTCTCCAACAGACCAAGAACCACAGCAGCAAATATCATACTTAAAGGATGCAGGGATGTGGGTTTTGCACCTTATGGTGAGTACTGGAGACAACTTCGGAAGATCTTTGTTCTTGAGCTTCTGAGCAACCGAAGAGTACATTCATTCCAGTATGCCAGAGACGACGAAGTAGAATCTCTTATCAACAAAATCAGTCGTGCTTCTGTTAAAGGAGAGTCCATTAATCTGACTGATATTCTGGTGAACGTTTCACATAACGTGGTTTCCAGATGTGTTCTTAGTGGGAGAAGTGAAGAAGGAGAAGACAGTCACAGCAAGTTCGGAGAGTTGGCGAGAAGGGTGATGGTTCTCTTTATGAGTTTCTGTGTCGGTGATATGTTTCCATACTTGAGGTGGCTGGATGTGCTCACTGGATATGTTCCAAGTTTGAAAGCAGCATCTGGTGATTTAGATAAATTTTTTGATCTGATAATTAAGGAACATAGAGCTTTAAAAAATCATGATGAGGTTACCAATAAGAAAGATTTCATTTCTATTATTCTCCAACTCCAAAAGGATGGCATGCTTGAGATGGATCTCAGTCAAGACGACATCCAAGCAGTCATACTCGTTAGTCAACTCTCCTTTCATCGTACTTGATAATTTGTATCTAAAACACGAAATTATCTAGTCAAATTCTTTTTTTTTTTTTTGTTTTAACAAAATTCATATTCGATGACTTTCATTTTGACCAAATTCATCTAAAACACAAAAAATATTTTTTTGTTTTTACCAAACTCATATTCGATCGCTTTCATTTTGACAATTTCAGGACATGTTTCTTGGAGGAACAGATACCACTGCAACGACATTAGAATGGATGATGGCTGAACTCCTAAAGCATCCAAATATCATGGAAAAGGTTCAGGAAGAGATAAGAAATGTGGTGGGAAAGAAACCAAAGGTAGACGTGGATGACATCGGTAAAATGGAATATTTAAAATGTGTCATCAAAGAAACTTTTAGACTACATCCACCTGTTCCTCTCCTGCTTCCTAGAGAAACATCAGCAAATCTTAAATTGGGAGGTTATGATGTTCCTTCCGATGTTACAGTCTTTATCAATGTATGGGCTATTCAAAGAGATCCCAAATGGTGGGAAAAACCAGAGGAGTTCATCCCAGAGAGGTTCGAGAATAGCTCTGTTGATTACAAAGGTCAAGATTTCCAGTTCATCCCATTTGGTTTTGGAAGAAGGGGCTGCCCTGGGCTGCTATTTGGAGTTGCTTCTGTTGAGTATGTGATTGCCAACCTCCTATATTTGTTTGATTGGAAGCTGCCTGATGGTGAAATTGGGAAGAACTTGGACATGACTGAACTTTATGGTCTAACAGTTAACAAGAAATTCCCTCTTCATGTTCTACCTATATCTCATGTAATGTGATTTTCTTTTGTTACTGAATCTCGATCACTGAAATTAAAAGCCGAACCCTCTGTTTTATCGAATAATCACAAACTGTTGACAAATAATGTGATTTTAGGTGTTCCTTTTCTTTTGTAGATTACATTACTGTTGATGTCGACGTCGTCCTCATGTTTACCATTAGGAGGACGTAGCTCCGTAAAATTGTTTACAATTTTGTTACAAAATGTGGTGCCATGTGAAAAATGAATAAAATAATTTCATATAGTAATTGTTTTCAGATTTCCATCGTTTGAGAATGATGAGACGGCTTACCTCTAAAAAAAATTTTTGATTGTTCATTAGGGTAATCCATATAGAATATTAATAATGCTTTTGGCATATAAGATTATGATATAATAAAATAAAATAATATTATAAATAAGATTAGATTAAATAATGTTATTTATTTTATATTTGATGAATGTAAAGATTAAATTGAATAATTTATTTATTAGTTAAAATTATTCTTTATACAATTTAAATTATTAATATAATTTTTAAGCATATAATAAGATATGTAAATTTAATCTCATGAATTAAAAATAATCTTCTTCACTTTGGGATAATTGAATAATCTTATAACAAGAGAATGATTAATTTTTCATGTAATTTTATTCATTTCTTTAGATACAAACTAAATATAATATAAAATGATTATCATCATATCTTATCTATCATTATAGTGGCAGTTTCGTAGCGGCGTTTCACTTACAAACTTATTAGTTTTTGTGCTTTTATAAAACTTAAGGCGTTTGTTATCAAAACACTACTAAATATTCAAATAGCGACATTGTTACTTATAAACGCCACACAAAACTTAATATTAGAGACATTTATCAACTAAAACACCTTGAATAATCTGTCTTAAAAATTTGAGTGAATACTAAAGGCATTTTTGGCAAAAAATGATTTGAATAATCCTGTTAAAAAAATTGATAGAGAATTACTGACGATATTTTTGGCAAACAATGTCTTCAATAATCTCCTCATAAAAAATGTATACGATTATTAAAGACGTTTTTTTACAAGAAATGCCTTTAATTATTTTACCAAAAAATTTCATAGGCTTATTGAATGCATTTTTTATTAAAAAAAATACCTTCAATAAATATCATATAAAAAATTTAGGATCGTACAGATGTTAACCATAATGTGATAGGTTCGATCCTTCCTTTTAACTTTTTTTGTGTTTTTGTAGAAATTATTTGTAATTGATTATTTTAGGAGTTTTTTAGGCAAAAACGCCTTCACCAATTACTTTAAAAATTTTTGAAGAGGATATTGAATGTGTTTTTGATAGAAAAATACCCTTAATAATCTATAGAAAAAATATGGAACCGATTCTTAAAGGCCTTTTTGGTCAAACTCGTCTTCAATAATCCAATCAACAAATTTTTAGTTTGGATTATTAAAGGCGATTTTTGTCAAAAATACCTTCAATAATCCATGTATAAAAGTTAGAAAGGATTCTTGAAGGCATTTTTGTCTCAAAACACATTTAATATTTCACATGATAAATTTAAATGGTAGGATTATTGAAGGTGATTTTTTTCAAAAATGCCTTCAATAACATTTTATTAGAGATTATTGAAGACATTTTTTACAGAAAAACGTTCTTAATAATCCATACAAAAAATATAGAATGGATTATTGAAGGTGATTTTTTTAAAAATGCCTTCAATAATCCATATAAAAAAGTTGAAACGAATTTTTGAAGGTGTTTTTTTACCAAAAATGCCTTTAATATTTCACACAATATATTTTTAGGTGGGATTATTAAATGCGGTTTTGGTTAAAAACTCTTTCAATAACATTTTGTTAAGGATGATTCAAGGTATTTTCTTGCTAAAAACGCCTTCATTAATCCCATCAGAAAAATATTTTTGATATTGTATATGTTAAGTCAGTTGTAGGTTTATGCCCAGAAAATATTTGAAGTCAATTATATATTTATGCCCAGAAAATATTTGATTTATATATATAATACTATGAATTAGATTTTGAAATTTACATAATGAACATTGTTGTATTTCAATAAATTAACCACACATCCGAATTTAAAACTAATAATGTTACCATATTAATATACTTTTCTAAAATATTCATACTCAATAATATATTAAGTACACATAGTGTATTCATATTAAGTATACCAATAATGTTAAACCAATATCTCAATCTACAAATTTAAAATTTTTATTCAACATGGCATATTAAAAGCATTATAACAATTTGTTCCCATATATTTACATTCAACAAACAATGTCTAAACTCAAGGTTTATCAACATTGATAAATGATAATACATACTCACACCATTCTTTATAGACTTCATCCAATTACTCTACCGTGAAACTTTCTTACCCTTCCACTAAAAAAAAATCAAAAGTAAATGTTAATAAATGTGAACATAATTTAGCCTTTTATTTTTTTGAAGATATAACGAGTTTATAAAATTTATACTAACCTTGAATGGTGTGATCATAAAATCATATAAAATTATCTCTTACATAAAATGAAGGACATAATATCCATATTTAGTATTACCGGGTTGATGAAGTACTTAAAAATTAAATTGAGTGGATTTATAAAATATTTATCTACACAAACTCAGCATAAAAAAATAAATTTTACATTTACCGATAATGACACTCATTTTGGTTTCTTTGTCTTCTTATCGAATGTAGATATTACCCTAAATTGAAAGAAAAAGATTACTTAATACATAAATAAAATTACTTATGAAAAAACAAAATATATATAATATAATAAAGTGTAATAACTCTTTATAAAAGTTTGAATATTGGGGTTAGGCATCGCCGTTAGATTAACTGAATTAAGTAAGTATGAAGTTAAGAATTTGGTGTTAATCACAATAAGGACCCAATGACAACTGCAAAATAATAATAATGATATACTCAGGTTACGCATAAAATCAGATTTGGATAAGGTTGAAATAATTAAGGTTGGAATATAACTTACTGTACATTATATGAGAGCAAATAATAATTAGTCGATCTTTTCATGCATTCAATCACATGATTAGCATGATAAATGACTGTACCACTCTGCTCACTAATGAAGTTGGGGTCAACGAATCTAAATCTATTGGTTAACTATTTCCCTTTGAGCTTTCTATATAAGAAGTTGTACGATAACAATCAACAATGCTAGTTAGTATTACACCGTAATATAGATTAATACATATTGAATGTGTGTATTTGTATTTATAAGCTAACCTCATATAAGCAACAATATCAACAATTGATAATTCATCTAGTTTACAAAATTCTTTAACCTTCTCTATACTAATGAAAGAAAATGATGGTTTATCAAATAGCCCTTCCTTAGACTGAATGGTTATGAAGTTTTCTTTGGATAAATGCTCTAGCAAATAATTAGATAACTCATCCATGGTAGCCTGAGCAAAGGTCATATTTTGAGTCCCAACATCTTGCTCCAATATTTAATGAAATATAAGTATTAAAACCAAATCAATAAATATAATAAAAAAATTAATATTAAACTTTTAAACAAAATCATACTTCATGGGTCGTAGCAGAGGATGGGTTCATTGCTTGGCTTGCAATGGAAGCTTGTCCTATGTGGACGATGCTATTAGACTGGCCTACTAGCATGCTATGCTGCATTATTATCAACATAGCCTTCAAAGCAGTGAGTCTTTACTGTTGCTCATTAAGGCGTTGCTCCTGATCATCAATTCGTTACTGTTGTTGCTCAATGATTGCTTTATATTATACATTTCTCATTCACGAGATTTTGGGTTATTACTAAAAAACTTTGATGACAAGAAAAATTTATCAACCCATGAACCCAACCAGGCCTTTCTTTAGTACTTAATACTAAAGACAATGGATCTTCACCATACTGATTGCCAGTTCACCATATTTGACTTTGGTAGCATAATCATTCTAAACGATAAAAATAAGATGGACTGTAACAATAAATCTATATAAGCTAGTATATAGTCATGCATACAACCAAAATGCCAATCACACATGATATTAAAAAACCAGTTATACATACAATCTTTTTTGCCATTTCTTTGGTTGCTTCATCTGTAAAAGATCCATCCTTCCTTAGATGTCCTTATTTCCATATATTTTATATGAAAACTTCGATGCCAGAGCTCACTGATTCCTATTAAATTATCATAATATAAGAATCAAAATGTATGAAATGATTAATCATAAATATTCATTAATGAGTATAAAACAAGTGTGCAAGTACATATAAGCTCATACTTCATATTTGCATTTCCTTTTCTCGTTGTCCGATGGTGATATTATTGTTTGGCTTGAATGTTCCATTGGTTTTCTTTGATTTTCTACAAAAGAAAGAAATTACGCCAATCACATATGAAGATCAAAGGATATATTGCATAAAGATTTATAAACAATTTTTTTGGTAATGGGTTTACGTAATAAGAAATCTTTTGAAACTCGATATCGAACAAAATTTATCAAATCTTTGACACTTATTATATGATGCAGTGGAACAATCAATACATCACCTTGATTAGCCAGCAGTAAAATATATTGGATTGTCAATCTTCTTTTAAAGTCTCTGAATGCTTTTTCAGCAGATTGTAACACAATATTTTTATAGTCAATTGGGACATCAAACCGTTCCTAAGTAATTTAACACAATTAATATGAACACATTGAATTTCAATGTAATGATCATTTAACAAATTTTATGAAATAGTTGAATAAACATACCACAATTGACTGTCATATATCATCCTTTAGATCATCAAGAACTCATCACCAATTCGTGTACATAATTGAAATCCTACTACGGACGATGGCTCCAATATAAGTAGCTAACTTGGTAACTCATTCAGACACAAGTTGCCCACTTTGATTAAAGTCAACGTGAATTTTTGTGTCACTCATTTTAATTTGTTTATTTGGGCCCCTTTTTTTTCTTTTTTGGCTTACAGGTGTGTCTTGTGCA